CCTATACCAATGCTAAATGCCAACCACCAAGTAAGATAAGTAGGATGGGATACAACATTATACTTTGTATAGAGACATATCATAAATATTTTCTCTCACTTTTATAAAGTATTTTAGACAATTCTTGTTGCAACAACTGTATTGTAAAGAATTTGGCAAATTCTTTCCCACTGTGTTCTCAGAGCAGCGATCTGAATAGTTTCTGTAGGATACTTCCACTTTTTGACTTATTGGATCGGCCCAGACTTTCTATAAAGTCATAAACATTTTATAATACTTTAGACAGTTGTCATTGTAACCATTATACTGTCCACAAGTTGATATATCCTATCCCACTGTGTTTTCAAAACAGGGAAAATTCTGGGAATTGCACTGCATGAACTTATTTGATATTGACAGTGTCAAAGTACGGTAACACCTAAACAGGAATGGCGATTCATTGCTTTATATTCGGCAGGTTTCTACTTCAGCCGCTAACAGTAGAATAACAATAGGAAATAGATGTAAAAAAGATTAGAAGGAACTCACAGTAGATTTACTTGGAACTTTACTGCCCCTACTGAAAAGAACAGAGTGCTATTCATTTTGTTTTTTTTTAATTTCTAACTCATCTACTAGCAATAAAATAACTACAGAAAATAAGGTGAAAAGGTGAGAGTGTAAACTCTTACCATAAGTACTTTGAAATATTATAATCACTACTAACAATACTATACATTTTATTTTGCAACCTCTATTTTTGTTATACTTTGATCACTTACCCACAACTTGGAGAAATAAGTATAATGTTACAGTAAAGAAAATAACAAATAAAATATAAAGCTTTACTGAAAATAAAAATGTTTGATATTTGATTACGAGGTTTTTATATTTCATTTGTTTTAACTGTTTATTAATACAAAAGTAACTAAAATAATAAAAATAGAAAGTTGTTAGGTAAGATAATGAAAGAAAAATAATAATAACTTTCATGGGGTATACACGCCAGAAGCTTCTGCATTACATTGTTTGATAGGGTAATGTCAATGCACGTGTGCTGTGTAATATTCAA